TACCAGGAAGGCAGCTGGGAGGCCTGGGCTTCTGGGAGCAGGAATGGTCTTAGTCCAGAGATCGTCATTTGGAACAGACAGAGAGAGGTCTTCTTGGGTAAGGTCACCTGATTCCGCCTGAAATCTCGCTGTCAAATCCGTTCTCCAGTTGCTTGGCCACTAAACCACCAGCCAGACACTAAGCTCCGTCTATCTATCTATCTATCTATCTATCTATCTATCTATCTATCTATCTATGTGTTTGTTTGTTTGTTTGTTTGTTTATATGGAAGAATCTCACTGTGTAGCCCTGGCTAGCCTAGAACTTGATATGTAGACCAGACTGACCTCGAGCTTACAGAGATCTCTGCCTTCTGAGTGCTAGGATTAGAGTTGCAATCCACCACCCGGCCTCCCCTGAGCTTCTGGGTGCACAAAACCTCATGCTTCTGGCCATTGTCATCTCATGCAGATAAGTAAGCCCCACACCTTCCCCCAAAGGCTTGTGGTATAGCTACACAGCCAAAAAAAAAGAAAAAAAAATGGGGAAATTGGATAACTAAGACAAGCCTCAGACGTGTGTACCTTTTTCCACAAGTCACCCACGTTGGTTAACGTGGCGCTGTCCACCCTGCTGCCTTTCCTGCAGGGGCAGGAGGTGTTACCGAAGGGTTTCCCTACACAGCCCAGTCTGGACTTTACCTTTCAGCTTTTTCTCAGCATCCCAAATACTGACGTCATAGACAAGGGCCACCATGGTCAGTGTGCCGAGTTGTAACAAAGAAATGAAGAGTCCCAGATAGACCCCAGTGCCCTCTGAGCACATCAAGCTTCACAGTCCCCCACAACCAAGAACAGTTCTGAGCAGCCATTTGGTAACTGCTTTTTATCCTTGAAAAAAAAAAAAAAACAGAAAAAGAAGGAAAAGTCTTCCTAGGTCTGGAAAAGTGGCTCAGGGGCTAAAGGGCTTGTAGAGCACACGTGAGACCCTGAGTTAGAACCATCAGAACCCATTTATAAAACAAACAAACAGGCACGGGGCAGGGGCACGTGCCTATAGTCCTAGCACTATACTTTCCCAGCCTGAGATCTTTTGTTCTACCATCCCAGTGTCCCCAGCCTAGGAAGATACCTGTCACCTGAGGGCAAGTTGTACTATCTGTGCCCACCTTGGGACACTGTTCTGTTAGCCTGGCATCCTGACTTGAACACACAGAGAGACTTGGACCTTTTCCTTGCATGATCTAGTCATGTACCACATACTCATACTCCTGCCATGAAGAGGGGGCACACTGTTATGGTGAAAATAAAATGCCACAGGTCCCCAAGTGGCTGCAGTGGCAGACACACTGCAGGACCCCAAGTGTCAGCAGTGGGCATGAGGCCATGGCGGGCCATGAAGGCAGCCGAGTCCCAGGAGGGAGCCACGTGGTGGATTAGAGACAGAGACATGGATAGGTACACGCCATGCAGAATGAAGTTGGATATTTATTTAGTGGGGGGGGGAGGGAGAAGGGGAGAAGGGAAAAGAGAGAGAGAGAGAGAGAGAGAGAAATGGGGGAGGGGAAAAGGGAGACAGGCAGAAGCTGCCTCTTTGGGAAGGAGATGGAACAGGGGAGACTGCAAGCAGAAGAAAGATATGCCTGCCTCGGTAGTGGGCTGGGAGGGTGGGGGGGAGGGGCTTGTCTCTTAAAGGGATAGGACAGACCATTACACACACTGCTTGTTCTGTTGGCTGTCTCTTTTTGATTACTTTTTGGAAAACCTTCCAAGCCCCCTTTCAGCCCAGTCCTCCTCTTTGGCTATTGGTTCTTCCCTGGTATGTTGCATTCTCAGTGACTCCACGTCACCTTGGTACCCACAGCCCTGAGAATTGATTCTGAATACAGTTAGCCCTAGTACACAGTGCTCGGTGTGGCATCTCTGTGTTGCAGCTTTCGGCACATCATAAGCATTGAGAAGCCATAGTCAGGAAGTGGGGAAGAGTGCTGGGGCCAGAAGAGGGTTAGGGAGACACCGCTAGGGAGCCTGGTGCAAAAGTCATGGTCTCGGGGCTGGGGCTGACGCGCAGGCTGGGCCCTCACTGTAGCCTTGCCCAACTTTGCAGAGTCAAGACGGCCAGCAGGTTCCAGACTTATGACTGTGAAGTTCTTATCCCTATGGTGGCTTTTTCATGTCCTTTTCCACTGCTGAGGCATACCCCCAACTCCTGCAGTCATGTGGGGGGCTCTTCTAGAAACAGCCTTCCCAGGAGTCCAATCTAAAAGAGAGAGCTCCACAGGCCCAGTGAACAGAACCAATGGGAGCGGGCTGGCCAGATGGCCAGATAGATTGATGACTGATCTCATGGCTCTCAGGAGAAGGTGACTTGTCTGTCCAGCTTCTACAGGGAAGGCTGGCTCCATTGGGAGTTGCCAGCCCAGCCTCAAGCCAAGCCCACCTCACTCTTCATTTTAAGAGTGAGGCCCACCCACACCCTGGAACTCATCTCCCATGAGGGGACAGATCGAAGATGTCAAATCAGTCAAGGAAAACCTGGATTATGTTGGGATGCATGGCTGGGACCCTGCCAGGGAGACACAAAAGCTGACCATCAAAAGTTCCACAGTCCTGTGATCTGGCCAGATGGGCCAGACAGTGAGCTCCTGTAACAGAACCCCGCCCTGATTGTGTGTTTTAGATCCAGGCTACTAGCTCTCATGAGGTTGTAGAAGCCGAGGCAGCATAAGGGTGGATTATCACTCTACCTAGGACAACAGAGCACTTTCCCTCAGCAGAGAGCTGCAGGCCTGGGCAGAAAACACAAGGAATGGAGGAAGTAGAAGAGGGGCTTTTAGTTCAGAACTCATTCGGAGCCTCAGTCCTATGTTGTGTGGACCTCAACAGGTGGGAAAGGGCAGCCACTGGTGAGCTGTCCCCACGGGAATGCCAGAAATACAGAAGGGACAGGAATGCAGGAACCATCCCTAGGGTATAGATTGGGGAAGGATGGCAGAAGCCTTGAGATGGTAACAACCCTCTCCAGGAGCACAGCTGGGGTTCTGTGCAGGCTAGCCAGCAAGGGGGTTTTGGAAGCTTGCAAGGACCCAGCTGTGGAGAAGGTGGGAAGCTGGGAGTCCTGAAGGAAAGCGGTATGGCTGACTGTGAAGAGCCTAGCTCCTTGGGAATGTGGACTTAATTTGGAAGCCTTAAAAATGCCACCAAGATACCTAGAAACTCGCCCGCCCTTCTTTTGTGTGCGTGTGTGTGGTACATTGGTGTGTACACGCATATGCACATGTGTGCAAGCGCGTGTGGAGGCCAAAGGTCTACATTCAGGATCTTCCTGAGTCTGACTTTTTGAGGCAGTCTCTTGCGGGGCCCCTGGGCTCACCATCCAGTCAGTCCAGGGTCTCTTCCTATCTCTCTCTGTCTCCCCAGTGCTGGGATTACAGGTGTGTGCTACAGCACCCAGCTTTTTATGTTGGTGGTGGGGACCACACTCATGTCCTCATGCTTGCGTGGCAGGCCGTTTATCCACTAAGGCATCTCCTCAGCCCCCAACTTTTGCTTTTTGGAAGAAGTGAGCTGGAACACGCGTGACACACGAGAGACCGCAGGCGGGAGCCGTGACGGGCTGAGGACAGCTGTGCTGTTTATTCATGAATGAACACGTGTGTTCACCACGTGTTGAGTGCTGCTGCACGTGGGTGTTGGTCTGGGTGCTACATACATGGGGTCACCTGGTGTGCTGTCAGGAAGCCGTCGGGGCCCATGCCAATGAATCCACAGATGATGCTAACCTGCCATGGTCACGTGACCACAAGAGGACATGGCGGAAAAGGACAGAGGAAAACTTCAGGGTGCAAAGTCAGAGGGGCCGCTCTGAGGGGACACTGTTCAACATTTGGGGGTCTCAGGGAAGAGCATCTAGTCCTGAGGTCAGGTCAACTTGTTGGAAAAGTTCTCAGAGAGGAGGGCAGAGGTCAGGAAGGAGGAGGATGTAGAGGGAGTCAGGTGAGGCGGTGTAGGTCAGGTGAGGAATGTTCGGGAGGGGTGGAGTAAGAAAGTCCTTAATTTGGGTGAGTTTGCTCGCTGTGAAAAATCCCTTCCCAAACGCAAGTGTCTAACCCATAAGCAGCCACTTTTAGGAAGGTGGACGCGACTGCTCTGCTGAGCAGCTATGGGCATGTGCCATGCCACCCATTCGCTTCTCAGAGTAAGAGAAGCTGGAAAACCAAGGTCAAGATGCGGGCACACCTCATATCAACCTTATCACAACATGCAGGAGAGGAGAGGCTGCTCACAGGGGACCTAACCCTCATAGAAAGGTGCCATCCTTGCAGCTAGACATCTACCAGGCCCCTCTCCAAATGTTCTCAAGTTGGGTGTTGGGAATCCATCATGTGGCCCTGGATCTACCCATTACTGACATGGTCCAGCAGAGATGCAGGACCTAGGGCTCCCTGGACTTGGCCACACGTTCTAACGTTGGGCTGAGAGCCACTGTGAGAGGCACCACGTTGTATGCTGTGAGAGACAGCTCAGGGTAAAGAAGGGTGCCTGTGGCTAGCTTGGAGGAACTCTGAAAGGTTTAGATGGAAGGGCAGCCTAACTGAGCTCCAAGGCATCATTACAGGCCCCTTGGGGTAGGACATTGTCACTGAGGTTGAGCCCAGTGCTTGAGAGGCTGGCATTGGAGGTGACATTAAGGACACAGCCACATAAGGGCTGTGCTGGCTGGCAAGTGGTCCTCCTTTGTCACCTCGACCCCCACCGACACCCTCCCTCTAATCCACAGCATCTTCTCACCTTGCCGTTGTCACCTTCCCCTTTGAGAGCCATGACTAGCCAGCGAGCACCTAGTTATCCCCGCCCCCCTCTGCTCTGCAATATTTCCTCCTTCACAGTGTTCAAAGACACCACACTATGTCCTGTGATATTTCTAATCAAGAATACAGGACGATGTGCGTCTGATGTCTCCCCGACATGAGAGGAGGTTGAAAATGATTTCGTTCTCTTGTTTTCCTTTTCAAATGCAGTGCGAAGTCAGAAGGACCAAGGGGAACCGGCCAGCCTTCCCCGGAGCTGGCCCACAGGCCTCTTCGGCGGGAACCTGTCCTAGGAGTGGCCCATTCTGCAAACAGGTGTGTGCTCTCTACTCTGCCGCGGCTGGTTCTCGGTGGCCAAGGATGGCCCATGTGGGCAGGGGGAGGGGGGTCAAGTGCTGTGAGAACAGGGGTCAATAGAGGGGAGCCTTGCTCTGCCCAAAGGAGTGTTCGCACTGTTCCCACCATGTGAATCCCTCGCCCCCTCGCCCCTGTGTTGTTCACCTGCTCTTACCCCTCCCCTTACTAAAATGCAAATCAGTATATACATAATAGATAATTAACAGACTGATCAGCCAGCAAGGGAGGTAAGTAGATAAATAATTTTAATTATCCTTGGGTTGCTCATAAATTCCCTCACTGCCGTTTTATTAAACTCTGTTTACAAGAGTCATTTATATTCCGTGTCGCCTTGCCAAACTCTCCTCCCTTCCTCCTCCCTGACTCCCTCCAGGTCTGACCTAGGGTGGCATCCCACCATGTGACCACAGGCTCTGTTTCTAGCAGGGTCTGGGTCCCAAGGAGGGAGAAAGCTTTGCCCAAGTGGCCAGGTTAGACAGCAGGAGGGAACATGGGCTCAGTGTAGCCCGGGAGCTCCAGCCCTTACTCCCCAGTGTGGCTTGGGCCAACTGGGAGCCTTGGTTTCACTTGGCACCTGTGTTGTGGCTATGAATTCATTCTTCTCCCCAGGGATGCCCTTGGCCTATGAATAGCCCTGGCTGAGGTTTCCTCAGTGCTCTGAATGCCAGGAGAGAAAGCGGGTTACTAAATATAAAGTAAAGCTCAGGGCCAGACTCTCCTAGGCTATCCCAGAGGTGTGGCTGGTGGGATACCATGCCACTCTTCCTCCTCCTCCTCCCCAGATACCCTGGCCTTGGTTAGTGGGTGTTGGGAACCATGGTGGCAAATGTGTGCCTGGTTCCCACGGAGCTGAGCGTCAGAGAGGTGCTGGAGAGAGGCTGGCTCAGGTGGGACCTTCCTCAAATGACGGTACCGTGAGGAGGGACGTCTTTCCTTGGGAATCTTCCACATGTACTCTTTCCATCTTGCTAGTTCATCAGTGTTGATGTCTCCCCATCGGCATGCAGGAAAATGCATTGGGAGGACCTGGGTGGCCCTAGCAAGGCTTACTCTGGTCCTATCCTCCTTCTGTAGTCGGAGTATCTTGGATTGAAACACTAATGCAGTGGGAACAGAGGGCCAGGAGCTGAGCATGGGCTAGGGAAACACTCTCTGGACTCGGGCATGCACAGGGCTGCCCTGATTGCATCCGTTCTTATGACCAGCCCAGTGTCAAGAGCTGGGAACGTGTGCCTGTTGAAGGTGTCTGTGGGGAGCACAGGCTCCCCCACCTAGGTGTTATCTCTTCACGCCCATGCTCTGGCCAAGGGAATGTCTTGTATCTCTGTCTTGTTGATGCTCAGTTGCCCAGATGCTCTCCCTGTGCTCAGCAAGGTCATGGTTGCCCAGCTCATGACTGACAGAGCAGCGCTCACACCTGAGTTCCCTGGGCCCAAAGCCCCTCTCCTGCAGGCCCCACATCAGGGGATGCTCTGCAGAGCATGAAGCTGTGTTGCTCGGATCCTTCCTAGATTTTGTTCCTGGAAGTGAAGTCAGGCTGTAGATGCCATTGCTCCGATCAAACGGGGCCCAGGCTGAGCTCTCGGAGGGTACTTTCTTGATGGTAAAATCCAGATGTCTTCCAGTTGCTGGCCTGTACCGCCACTGTGTAGGGCTGAACGAACCCTGGTTTCTGCAGCAGATTGGCACTGGATGGTGAGCTGGGTTGTGCACTCTCTGCTGACTGTTCTTGACTCCTTGGAGGGAGGCTGTTTGCCCTGGGCAGAGGGAATGCAAGCCGAGCAAATGGAGAGGCCTTTTAAGTTCCACTCGGTAGAATTAAAGTCTGAAAAATGGCTCATTGGAGGTTTCCTGCCCTTTTAAGAGTTTGTTTAGCTCAGAGCTTTGCAGTCTGCCCTGGGTCTTGCCTAGCCCACACTGACTGAGTGGGAAGGTGCCAGGACCAGGGAGAGGAGACAGAGTTCACAGGAGGCTTTTGACTACCTCTTCCTATGTTAAGGATCATGCTGTCTGGTCACCAAGCCAGTTACCATAGCTGTCTGGATCAAACCTCCTGGGAGGTGTGCAACCTCAGCCATTCCTTAGAGAGCAGCAGCGGAGTTCAGCTTCCTGAAACCCTATCCGAGTCCCTCTGGGCAGCACCAAATTACTGGCTTTTCTTATTCCATTACAAATAGTCTTAGCATTTTCTATCTGTCTCTGTTTTGTGGAGCTGTATGGATGGCAAGAGAAAAAAAGAAGAAAAGAAAAGAAAGAAAGGCTCAGACTGATGCCTGGGTGCCACTCCTCACGATAGCCAGGATGACTGGCTTCCCCAGGTCTCACCATCCCCTCCCCAACACGCTGACAAGAGCCCTACATCAGCTCCTGCCTCATACGTCTGAGCCACCAGGACCAACATTAGGAAGGGGCAACTGATGACAAGCCGCTAGAGTGACGTTTCCTGTCCTGGAGGAGCCACTGCTTTTCCCCAGACAGGATCTGAGAGCGGAGCTGTGCTGAGCTGTCCCCAGCACCCTAAGACCAAGGGCTCAGGACAGTGTGCCAGAGCTGCTAGATGCCTCAACCGCAGGCATGGGAAGGAGTTGAATTCTCATGCAGACATCAATAGTGGTGTTCTTGTTCCAGAATGTGGTTCCCACTGTAGGTGACTTTTCTGGTTGTCATTGGTTGTCATTGGAGCCCCAAGAACTGTAGTGTGTAGCTGAGAGTGGTTGGACCTTCAGTGGGTATCCCTCGTTCTCTCCTGATGATCTTAAACCAGCCTCCCTGGAGCCCGGAGATCCAGAGACCGCTGACAGGATTGCTCGCTTTTTTTTTCTAATCATCATTTTTCTGTTATTTATGCTTGCCTCTGCCTCCTGAGGGCTAGGTTTAGAGGCATCATGACCACACCTCTCTTTATTTTTAATTCTTAAGATTTGTTGCACGAATTTTAATTTTTCCTATTAATATAAACCCGGAGTCAGATACCAGGGGGTGAAAGCGAACGGACCAGAGAAGCAGAGCAGCCAGCCACTAGTTCTTACCTCTACTAAATCCTCAAACTGCATGGGGTATTTTGTCTCTACCAGTCCTCAGCCTGAATGCCATCTCTATGAAACCTCAGACTGAATCCTGAGCTCCATCTCCTCCTACTTTATGTTCCTCTCCTTGCCCAGCCATATCACTCCTGACTCTACCTCCATGGTGCTGGTATTAAAAGTGTGTGACTCCCAAGTATTGGAAGTAAAGATGTGAGCTACCACTGTGTGGTTCTGTTTCTCTTTTAGAGTGATTCAATCTCGTGTAGCCCAGGGTGGCCTTGAACTCACAGAGAACCATCTGCCTCTGTCTCCCAAGTGCTGGGATTAAGGGTGTGTGCCACCACTGCCCAGCCTCTATGGCTAACTAGTGTGGCTAGCTCCCCACTCTGATCTTCGGACAAGCTTTATTTGTTAGATCATAAACAAAATATCACTATGAAGACTTATGTTTATTATTTAAGTACATGTGCATCTGTGTGTGTCTACGAATCTGTGTGTAGTTAGTATGCACATGGATGCATGTGCCTGCAGAGACCAGAAGTGTCAGATCCCTCAAAGCAGGAGTTACAGGCGATCATGAGGCTCCATGGTTGATGGGAATGAAACCCCAGGTTTCTGCAAGAGCAGTACATGCTCTTAGCTGCTGAGCCATCTCTTTAGCTCTGAGGATTACTCTCTTTAAAGCAAAGTTAACCCTTCACATGTCTTCATCACAACACAAGAAGAAAAGTAACCGAGGTGCTTCTTGGAAAACTTCTTGGAAAACGCAGAAAAGTGAAGCAAGCTGTCACAGCTGCTGTGGTGGCCCAGACATTTTCTTCCCTCCCTAGCTCTTGAGACATCTCAGGAAAGCAGCTTCCCGCCGCGTGCTGTCTTTGCTTTGCTTTACGGCTCCTTGATAACCGCTTCTGTTACTTTGTTGCACGGAAGTGCCAACTTGTAGCCAATCCTTCCAGGCCGGTTTTGAAGTACACAGGCAGGATCAGACACTGACCCTGTCTCCAAATTCTATGCCACATTTAAAAAGCCTAGAAGAGGCATTTTTCCAAATAAGAATTAGGAGATGATAGTTTACTTTAGAAGCAGTCTTCAGATACATTTAAAATTTTTTGAAAAGTAGCCTCCCCCAAGGTATTCGTGCGCAAAAGACATATGAATTCTCTGCTCTCATTCCTGTTTGTCCACCTCCAGAGCCTTCCCCGTCCTTCATGGAGGTCTTTTCTCAGTACACATGCTGATGCTGATGTGGGGTATGTTCATATACACTAACATGCACACATATGATCAGGCATGCATACATGTGCAAGCATGGCTTCACACATAGGTACACATGCACAACACTTGCCCACATGCTTACACTCTCAGATGCACATGTGCATACACATAGGCCTATGGACACAGCCACGTACAACCTAATACATGCAAACACAGGAATACCTATGTGCATGCAGGCACTCACAGCCAGTGTTTAGCAACATGTTCCCATCATCAGCTGAAAGGTGATGTTAATTGAATTCTTTCTTAATCACATCTGTGTATCAGACATTCTGCTCCTAGCAACCATTCCCAGGGAATGAGCAGTCATTTCTTTCTCAGAGATAAAGAGAAATAGATGTTGATGAGGTCGCTGGGCTGGTCAGTGGCCCCAGCCCATGTGACTTATTATTTAATGAGAAAAACAGGAAACCCTCAGAAGAGATCACTGACTGAAACACCCAACCTCAGGCTGGAAGCTGAGCATCTGCAAGCTTTGCCTTCTGCTGGTGCATAGCTGTTACCATATAGAGAGTGACATCATCACTCCGGATGAGAACATCTACCACCCCCCAGGGCCAGCTGAAGGCCCTGCGGGTAGAAACAAAGGGAAGACCAGAAACCCAGTCTGCTGCCCCAAGTGAAGCCTCAGTGCAGGCTGTGTAACCATACTCCCTG